AAAAAAAAAAAAAAAAAAAAAAAAAAAAAAGCCTGATAAAGACAAGGCGATGATTTACTAATAAGATAAAGTGGGACCTCCCAAGATTATGCTGTTTTTCTGGTACTGTGGATCAAACCCAGGGTCTCATGTATGCTAGGCAAGCACTGTATCATTCTCCCACTGAGCTACACCCCAGCCCTTTTTGTTTTGAGACAGGCAAGACTACCCAAGCAGGTCTCAAACTTGAAATCATTCTACCTGCACTTCCCAAGTAGATGGGATGATACTAAACACTGCTTTGAACATTCTTAATTCACAGGTAATTTTTGATCTATTTATTTTATTTATTTTGAGATAGGATCTCACTATGTAGTTATATCCCAGGCTGGCCTCAAATTCATGGTAATCCTCCTGCCTCAGCCTCCTGAGTGCTAGGATTATAGGCAGAAGGCAAAACCATTGCGCTAAGTCCCTGGCTTTTTTTTTTTTTTTGGTACCATCACAAGTAATTTTTGAATACTCACTTTATGATTGGAAGTATTGGCTATTAATATGCAATTAATGTAAGAGATGTCTTCCCCAGAAAAACTTGCAGCCTCGTTGAGACTCTGTCTCTAAAGCAAGGCAACATATATAAGTGAGTAAGTAGTCAGGCAGAATTCTGAGAATGGAAAATCCTGGACTCCTTAAGTAAATATTATCAGAAGAAATAGAAATTGAACAGAACCTCAAAAGGTAGATAATATTTAAAGTCCAGTCTACCTGGGTTTGGTAGCACATGCATGTAATCCTAGCAGCTTAGTAGGCTGAAGCAAGAGGATCACAAGTTTGAAACCGGTCTGGACAACTTAGAATCTGGCTTTAAAAAATAAAAAAATCTGGGGATATGGCGCCACACTCTGTAGGTTCAAGTCCATGCCAGGCAAGGTGGTGCATGCCTATAACCCACCAGTCTGGGAGACTGACACAGGCGTTCGAGGCCTGGGCTTCACAGTGACACCCTGCCTTATAATTACAATAGGCCAGCCGTGGTGGTTCACACAGGAGTCTGAGACAGGAGGCTCACCATGAGTTTGAGGACAGCTTGGGCTACATAGTTCAAGGCCAGCCAGAACTGTGTAGCAAAACCCTGTCTCAGAAAAACAAAAGTCCGTTTTGTCATTTAATAAATTCCCATAATGCATCTGGCCCTGTGCTAAATACAAGATGAGTGATTGGTGTCTGCTCTCAAGGAGC